GGGGGGGGAAGACGGATGGATAGGTCAATGATGATCATTATCGGATTTGCTGTACTCGCTCCCTCTTGATCAGCCCAGGCGTGCTTGGACTGAGGTCGACGACAAGTTTGACACTGATGTCACGACCGTGTCGCTTTTCAGCCTGATCCTGACGACGTCTCACCCTGACCCGCGGACGGCATCGAAGATAATGCGGGGACATATAGAGTACGAAAGACATTAAGAGAGGAGGGGTAAGGAGGAACAGCCCTGTGGACAAGAAGGGAGTGGTCGCGGCGTTTTTAGCCAGCACACACACGCCTGGCAGCCAGCTGGCGGCGAGGGGTGAACGGCCCGCTGACGAATTCTGGCGAACGACAGGAACGACAACGTATGAGGGGAGGGTGTCTGTTGGGCGGAATCGAGAACCAACAATGGCTGACGCAGGTCAAGCCGTTCGCGTCCAGGAAGAAGCAGGTAAAGCATCAATGCGGCACACGCGTATTCGCGGGATCCAACGGGGTTGGCGTGCGGCCTGGATGGGTCGAGGGTGCAGCCGCAACCCGATTGCTTGCCCCTGGAGACCGGCAGCAGGGGTCTGAGACGTGGACCAGACAAGCAGCATTCGCGTCGGATTCCCGAAGCGAACTTGGCTGCCCGTGCTCTGTCTGGCCAATCAGCGGTGGGCAGGGCGTCCGAAGGTGTCGAGGAGATGTTGGCGTCTGGTCTTTTGACTGGAAACCGCTCACGAACAGAGCAGAAGAAGAGAAAGCAGCAAAAAAAAGATGGGCTGCTAGAGCAGGTACGAGGCAGCCTAACCCAACCTGTGTTTTTCCCAGTCTGGGAAATGCAGAGTCGAAAGCAACAAAGCCCAAGCCAGGCTGTTGGCTGGTGATGTTGCGCTGCCCCGTGGGCGCACTGACACCGAAACATGGCACCAGCTCGTCACCCGCAAACTGCATGGGCCACTGGCGCACTAGTGTTACGCTCTCTACCATTGTGGGTGTTTTGGTGTTTTGGCGCAGTGCGACGACGGCTCGAGTTCCTCGCTTGCCAAGTTACCAGAGAGAGCTCCTTGTCAGATCCGTCCAATCCCCCAGTAACGAGCTACACGAACCCACATCCAGGCCGTCGACGATCGTTTTACTGTATATGGGCCAAGCTCCCCCTGTACTGGCCCCTGCCACGCCGGGGCTCTCCATGCCAGCGCTCGAAGATCGCGTTCCCGTCCTGCTCATGACATAACGAGCGAGCCCGGGTCTGTGGGCCGATTCCGACGGGTGCCCCCGTCCTGTCTTTTTGCGTTTTGCGTTTGCTGTTGCAACCAACGTCCCCAGGTTTTCTCCTCTCCTTTTGTTTCCTCATCCCGTGCTCGTCGAGGGCCTGGCCGCCCAACACCAGTCTCCAAGGTTGAAGCCGGTTGCGTGTCACGAGTCTCGCGCTCTTCGCCTTTTTCTTTCCTTTCCATCTCTCCTTCCTTGTCCGTCGCAGTCCGTTCTGGGTCAAGATCCGGGAGATCGCCAGGATTGACTTCTTTCTAACCTTCTCTAGCCGGCGCGCGCCTCACACGTTCTTTTGCGCCGCCACGTTTTACCCCCTCCATATCGATCTCGCTCTCGTCGTCCCTGACCAAGGAAAAAAAACCCCCCCATACGCTTCATGATGCCGCATCGCAGGTAGCACCCAGTGCTTTTCGGCCCTTACGTAACATCACCCAACCGGCAGCAGTGACCACTCTTTCCTGCAACCATGTCCTATCAAGAATACGCACATCTTCGGAATGGGACCCCGAACGGTCGCAGCAGGGCGTCGACCTCGGACGCGACCTGGCAGCAGAAAAGGGCTCAGCGAATGGTCCCGTTCACGACCACGGGGTCTTCTAGCTCGGACGAGAGGCCGTACGTCGGCAGCCACGTCTCCTTCAGCGCCCCTCGACCAGCCCCTGTAGCGGCCCAGCGACCAGCATCCCACCACCCCGCGTCCCAAACCCACCACAGCCCGAACCCGAGCTTGTCCAGCACGTCGTTGAGCCCTTCCAACTCGGCGTCGCAAAAGGGCCTCTACAACTGGAAGAGGAGAAGGGCGGCGGCCGCCCAGGAGCCTCTGCCGTCCTTTCCGCCCAAGGAAAAGGGGCCCGGGGCGGCGCCTGAGAAGAAGCTGAACCTCGTCGACGTCCCGCTGCCGTGGCGGCCCGCTTACCTGCAACGCCGCGTCCTCTTGGCATTTCTGATGCTCTTTATAACACTGGGCATCGCACTTGAGGCGATCCTCAGCCTCTCGAACCAGACCCCCGGCTTGGGCCCCGCCAACCGGCCGATCGCCTTGCGATACGCCTTTCAGATGCCGCCCGTGGCCATCCTCCTCCTCGTGGCCGGCGCGTGGCGGCGCGTTGAGTACCAGGCCAGGTCGTCCGCCCCCTGGATGCGCATGGCGACGAGGCCGTCCGAGGCCAGGCTCACGTTGCTGCTGGACTACGTGTCCATGCTCCGGCCCGCCGCCCTGGCCAAGGCCGTGCGCAACCGGGACTTCCTCGTCGCCTGCGCCGTCGCGGTGTCCCTGGCCCTGCGCGGCGCCGTCGTCGTCTCGACGGCCCTCGTCGCTCCGGACCTCCTCACCGTCACGGACCGGGCCGCCCAGCTCGTGGTGACGTCGCAGTTCGTCCGGGGCGCCGGGCTCCCGCTCGACGGCGCCGGCCTGTCCCTCGCGTACGTCGCGGGTCTGCAGGAGGGGAACGCCTCGTTCCCCGACGGCGTCGGCGGCCGCTTCGCCTACCAGCGGTTCCGGTCAGACGCGCTGAGGGACGCGGACGCGCAGATCGGCGCCACCGTCGACGCCTTCCTGCCCGATCTGACCTGCGAGCCGGCCGCGCTGTCCGTGAGCAACATCCGGGCCTCTCAGCAGGCGCAGCAGCTGGATGCGAACTTTACCATCCCGGGTTGCTCCATCGCCGCCACCGTTTCCGGAAACGGCCTCTTGTCCGCCGCGAACGAGGTGACGCGCTTTCTCAACATTGGCAGGGGCGGCTGTGGGGGGTCGACTGCCCCTGAGAGGCAGCGTGTCGTTGTGCTGTTTGGCACTATAAGCATCGACAGTGGCAGCGCAGGGACCGGGAATACCTCGGTCCCTGTGAGCGGATCTATCACTCGATCAGCCCAGCTGGTCTGCGAGCCCAAATACACGATAAAGCAGACGGACCTGGTGAAGGATGACGGCTCCCGAGCCGCGGCCAAACTGGTTGCATCCCGGCCACAGTCGCGTCAGCTTGATGGCGTCCGCCCCTGGGACGTGGTGGAGGGTATCTTCAACTCGTACACCCAAGCTAGCCGTCTCTTTAGCCGCGAGCTGTCCACGAACAACGGCCTTCCTCAGTTTCTTCCCACCCGCGTCGTCGTTGACCCCCTAGGCCACTTCGCGTTTGGTTTAAAACAGTTCGAGCAGGGTTCCCTGGGGACACCAGACGACTATTTCAACAGCACCACGCTCACGGCCTTGGTTTCTGACTATTTCCAGCATCACGCCTCCATCCTGGCCTTCACCTCCCTATCTAGTGGTGTTGAGATGCCTGTGCAGGGAACGTCGGCCGTCAAGGAGGATCGCCTCACAGCCAAGCCCGTGGTCGTGCACTTTGTGGTCGCGCTCCTAGGACTGTGCGTACTCCTGAGCGCCCCGATGATTCTGTTTGCTCCGGCGAAGGGTTTCCTGCCGCGCAACCCCGGCACCCTGATGGACACGGCTGCGCTCCTCAACCACAGCAAACCCCTGCTCCAGGCGCTCAGGGGCGCGGGCGCTGCAGACGCAGCGACTCTGCGAGGGCGCTTGGGCGGTGCCCACTTCCACACCGGCGTAGAAGCATACGAACAGGACTACACTTCCGGACACGGCTACTTCAAAATCCTCGGCGGCCCCCTGCGTCCCGACGCCATGTCACCCGAGTACGCCGAGTCCGGCGGAGCCGGCGCGTGGCCGCAGCAGCTGTGGATGCACTGGTCGCTGCGCCTGGCCTCCCTAGTCGTCATGGCCGCCCTCGTCGCCGCCCTCGAGGCCTCGCTCCGGGTGTCCCAGTTCAACGACGGCATCGCGACCGTGGGCGACAGCGCGCTGGCGCACCTTGTCTGGACAGCGGCCCCGACGCTCCTGTTCATGCTGCTCGCCATGTACGTCGGCCTGGTCGACTTCACTATCCGGGCCATGGCGCCCTTCGCCGAGCTGGCCCGCGGCGGGTCGTACCGCACCATGACCACGAACCTGGTCGATAACACGGCTCCCTTTGCCATGTACAAGGCCCTTGCCTCCGGGAACTGGGCGGCCGCGCTCTCGACCGCGTCGCCCCTCGCCGCGTCTCTCCTTCTCGTCTTCGTCGCGTCGGCTTTCGGTACCAGCACCTTGCCCGCCTTCACAGCGGTTCAGCTGCAGACCCGAGACTTCTTTAACACCGGGGCCCAGTCGGCAGCAGCCGGGAACGTCTCAACCTACCCAGGCGTGATGGCATCCCTGGCTCTGGCGGGGAATGCGTCGTACCCTGCCTTCACGTACAAAGATCTGGTGTTCCCAAGAGTAACGCTTCCGCCAGACGTAGCCAACGAGTCACTACCCGACACCGCCATCATGACGGCTACGCTGCCTGCGATCCGGGCGACTCTCCGCTGCAAGCTCTATACGCAGTCCGAACTGAGAATCAGCTTGACAAGCAGCTCCGCGCCCGGCAACACGATCAACTCTATCCGCATCGACACCCCGAACACTGCCTCGTCAAGGGGCAAATCCATGGTCATTGACATGACCCAGGCCTTGGGCAGGACCGGTTCAACGGCGGGAAGCGCGGGCTCCGCAGACGGGAGCGCCTTCATCGGCGCGGCGAGATTCATCCCCGACGGCGCCGCGGGCGGAGGGACCTGGCTCTACGGCTGGGGCCAGCTCTCCAACGCCAACACGGACAGGGCGTCGGTGGCCCCCGTCTACGCGCTCTCGTGCGAAGAGAAGATGCAGCGGCTCAGCGCCACCGTCAGCTTCAACGCGCCGTCTATGGTCGTCGAGGACGTCTCCCAGCCAGCGCCCATCCCCGTAGAGGGCAGCGCCCGTGACTCGTCCGTCTCCCTGTCCGCCAGCGAGACGCTGTACGCGGGCCTCGCCCACATGATGGTGCCGGGGCCTCACCACCTCGACGGGTTCTTCTCCCAGCTCGTCTCGTCCAGATACGCCGTGCCCCTGGACACCCTCGGCGGCGGCGGCCAGGCGGCCGAGTCGGTGGCGGCCGCCGTCGTGGCCCAGCACGGCATCGTGCGCGCCCAGGCGCTCAGCGCGACCGCCCGCCGGCTCGCGTCCGGCACGGCG